AATGAGCAACCCACATGCCGTCTCCGTTATTGTGCAGTTCGCTCGCTCGGCGATGCCGTTCATTGCAGGGGAGTATGGCATGGTGAGGGAGTGCCTTATGCCATTCTTCTTCAGCCACAATGAGAACTCCTTGCTCAGGAACTCTCCCCCTCGATTAGTGCAAATTGCCTTCACTAGCCGGTCTTGTTGCCGCTCCACCATCGGCAACCAATCGGTCTTCACCGTTTCAGCCACGTCGCTCTTCTTGGAGAGCACGTACACCCAAGTCATGCGAGTGTAGACGTCCACTATGGTGAGAAAGTACTCAGCTCCAGCAGCTCCAAGCTTCAGGGGGCCCACTACGTCCATCACCACCTCATCAAGTGGTGCCTTAGCCGTTGCCTCCAAACTTGAGAACGGGAAACGGGTGAACTTGGCTTGCATGCATGTCGGGCAGCCAAGTACCTCATCGGGCTCCCCCTTCACACGTATGCCAGCAACCATCTCACTCTTCACTAGCTGCTGCAAGATGGGCAGGGCCACATGCCCCACTCGCTGATGCAAGGTCAACCAATCACACTCCCCCGTAGCCGAAGTCTGATTGGAGAAAGCCACACTCGCAATAGTGCCCCACATGTTCTCTCCGTACTCCTCCTCCGCTGCTGCCTTTAGGTTCTCCTCATGCTTGTGCTGCTTCTGAGCTGCTGCACCACTCTCCTCGTGTTCACCGAGCTTGGTGGTCCCTCCAAGATTGCACTTCTTGGACTTAATCTCCTTAGCGCGACCGTTCGCGCCATCGCCGCTACCAACCGCTTCACCCTTGGTGCTGATGCTTGCTGCCACTTGCCTCTCCTTAGGCATGGGGACCACAGGGATCTGCCACATCTCGTTGTAGACATCCCTATCATCGTGAAGGTCCCAAAGAATCCGCTTGCCAAGCCTCGCGGTGTAGGTCTTAGCTCCCTTCAAGCTCGTGTACATGCCAGCCTTTTGCAACCGCCGCACGGAAATCAGGTTGGCAGCAAGGTTGGGCACCCAAAGAACGTTTTTGAGGCCCACCATCTTCCCATCAGCACCCTTGAACATGGCCTTGCCCATGCCTTTCACTTCTGCTCGTTGCCCCAAAGCCGATGTCACATGCTTCACCGGTGACGGCTCAAGTTCGGTGAGCAAGTCCGCACGAGGTGTCATGCTATAGGTAGCGCCGCTATCGATCACCCAATAGTCCAGGGAGTGTAGGGTGAACTTCCCCACGGCTGCTGGCTCCTCAAAGCCTTCATCCTTCTCTGGACCAGCCGGTGCTTGCGTGGACACGAAGAAGAATTGACCCGGAAAGCGATCGTCCCTCCACTCGCTCTCATTGCCGGCACTCTTCATACTTGCAGCACCACCTCCGCGACCACCACGGCCTCCACGGCCTCTTCCTCTCCCTCCCCCTGCTCCTCTACCCTCTTGGCCTTGAGCAGGAGTCCATCCATCAGGGAGCTTGTAGCAATCGCACCACATATGTCCGCTCTTGTGACAATAGTGGCACTCGCCGTCGAATCGGCCGCGATCGCGTCCGTAGCTCTTGTTGTCGCTGCTGTATCCGCCACTCCCGCGGCCTCCATTGAAGTTGGTGCTACCAAATCTGCCTCCCCCTCGTCCTCTGCCCCTTCCACGGCCATACCCTCGGCCGATGCTTGCTGCCCCGGCGCCATCCGCACTCGTCAACTCACAGCGGCGGAAGTCCTCTTGAAGGATCGCTCGCTTCACGTCTTCAAGCGAGAGGCGGGGCAAGTCACGATTGAGATTGATGATGAGCGAGGACCATGACTCTGGGAGTAAGGCCAGCAACTTGGTCTTCTTTTGGAGCTCACTATAGTTCAAATCAGCTCCCTCAAGCCGCGTCAACAAGTCGAAGAATTTTTGCACCCCTTCTTCAACCGCTTTGTCTTCTTCAATTCGTAGTGCCGCCATTTGCCGTTCCAACACCACCGGTACCGCCGCTGTTGCAGGAGCGTGTACACCCTTGAGAGCAGCCCATGCCTTTGGTCCCTTCTCTGGTTCACGCTGGAATGGCTTGATGTGACGGATTTGGCTGCTCCCCAACGCTTGCCCAAGTAGGAGATAGCCTTGTGCGCTCTTCCGCACCCACGGGCTCTTCTCCGGGTCGTTCTCGGGGCGCTTCTCTGTTCCTTCCATCACCTCCAGCAGGTCATATTGGTCCAAGATGTTCTCCATCTTGAAGGACCATTCAGCAAAGTTGACACCGTTGAACTTGTCAAGCCCAAACACCCTAGGCTCATCCCTAGGTGGGCCAAGACTTGGTTGCATGGGCGCCATGGCTGAATCACGGGGTTGGCCTTGAGCTTGGGCTCCTCCACTGCCACCAGCACCTCTGCCACCCCTTTCCTCAGGTCCAGCCATTGTCGAAACTACTCCAAATTGCTCTGATACCACTTGTTATAGTCACAATAGGCTTGAATGTGCCTAAAACGAAAGATAGAGTGCACAGTCGGATTTCTGTATAGCGGCTTCAAACGTTGATAACGCTCTGGTCACAGCTGCAAATGACTTGATTCAAATTGAATCTGGAGCGTCTTGACGTCGCCTACACTTGGGAATTTAGATTGCACGATTTCATTAAAGATTGAGGACGCTGCGTCGGTTTGAACGAACGGCACTATGGCAACCACTATAGACTTAGAACACAAATTAGGAAGAGTTACGAGTTGGGAATGACTCCCAGCTCCTACGAGGTACAGTGATGTGGAACAGTGCCACACTGTCCCCAACCACGAAGAGTCTCGAAACTACCCTCCACAAGGGCCTACACCAAGAGAAATGTTACACTACACAAAGTAATGCAACTATTCTCACTATCTAAGTTTTCCCTTTTGGAGAGCTTCGAAATCACTTGATTCTTGAAACCAAGGCTCTGGTTCTTCAAGATAAATTCTTCCTTGAGTTCTTGGAATTCTGCTGCGCACACCTGCGACACGCCGAACGTTCCACACACGACAAAATAGAAAACCGCACACGACACGCAAACAACGACGTGACACGCGACTAGCGATAACTCGCTATTGACTCGACACACACATTCAAAAACATGCCTCATCATTCACACAATATTGTAAGCATGAAATATATATTATTTCATGCCCTCATACCATTCCATGCACACACGCATGCACACACATGGACAACAAGCCGAACGCAAACCGTAGGGTTGCACCAACACGGAGTGACGTGTGACACACCGACGGGGCAGGACGCGAATGGGGGGGGGGGCTCTCGGGGCGACAGGGGGGGGGCTCAAGGGTGAGGAACAGCGGGGGGGAAAAGACCTCAGTACCTCGGTGGGGGCGACTCCTGTAGTAATAGACAGACTCGTCGAACGTGACGTCCTGAGAAGCAAAGAACTCTTAGGTGACAGGGTCGTAGAACACCCAGCCGGAGGCGTCCAAAGGGAAGCCAAGAAAGACACAGGCACTAGTGCAAGGAGACAACTTGTTCACGCCAGGGGCGCGAATGTGAGCCAGAGAACCCCAAACGCGGAAGTCAGCTGCTACGCCAGGAGAACCTGTCCAAAGGGAGACCGGCGTCACCTGTGGCCGTGCGTCACTGGGCCACGGGCTCAGCTGGTGCGTGGCGTAGCGGACTGCTTGAGGCCACAAAAACTGGGGGTCACCGGCAACCTCCATGACCAGGCCGATGCGTCTCTCGGCTACCCCGTTCTGCTGCAGCGAGGCTGGTAGCGTGTAAGACTGGATGATCCCCCGACCCTGAGAGAACGTCTCCAGGCGAGTGGAAGAAAACTCACCACCACGGTCCGAGTGTATGCGGAGCCCACACAAGCTCTGGGAGCCACCCCTTGCTAGCAGCCACGGCTCAAGGACGGTAGGCACGTCGGCCTTCCATCGCAGGGGGGAAACCGTGGTGTAGCGGGAGTAGTAGTCCACCGCAATCAGGAAGTAGCGCTCCTGACGTGGGCCAAGGACCGGGGAGGGGCCCTAGACGTCCAAGTGCAGGGTCTAGAAGGGAGCCGTGGTGGGGGGGAACGAGGAGGAGTGAGGGGCAGCGCGCTGCCGACCCTCGACGTAAGGAGTGCACGGCGGCGCAGGTGAGCGAGGAAGTGGGGCAAGCGACGCTGGGAGACCTGAGACCAGACGGTGACTTACCATCCTACTGAGACGTGGGAATGACGGGTGACCTAGATGGTGGTGTCAGAGGACCGACGGGTGGGTGATTGACCGGCAGTCGCACGTCACAGCAGCTACCTGACCTGGCCTGACCTGACCTGACTCAGTGTGGTGGGACCCAGTGTGTAGTGAGTACAGACCAGAGCCCCGCTCTCTGTGGAAAGTGGCTAGAGGCGCCCCAGTGGCACCGACTGTGCAGGAGGCAACAGGCTCATCCAGTGGGAAAATAGTGACTACACCTAGGTCGTGGAGGTGACTGACACCCACCAGGTTCCTGGAGAACGACGGGGTGTAGTAACCTGTGAGAATCCCAGAGGGAGCCGCCAGACACGGGAGAGTGGTGGTGCTGCGGACAACTACAGGTCCCATAGAGGGGTCAACCAAGGCGACAGTGACTATAGAGCGTAGTGGTGTGAGTTCGGTACAGTCGCGAAAGAAACAGCTGGATGCTCCAGAGTCTAAGGTGAAGGAAAGTTGTGCAGTCTGTGAGGTCGAACCCAAGCCAGCGACAAAGGCTGGTGCTAGACTAGTGGTAGCTTCAGCTCCTACACTAAGACCCTCAGAGGCGCCTGGACTGGAAACAACACACGCACCAAGACTAGAAACACAGGTCTCTACTCCTAGAGCCGGGGAACGTCCTATACCAGGTAGGTGAGACTCAACTGGTGCAGCAGTGTGCTGGCGAAGACGCGAGGGCCAGTGCGGTGTAATAGCGTGAGGACCAAAACGCTCACGGTGAAGGTTGTCGAGTCAACAGTAGCAGCTGGATTCAGAGTAAAGACAAAGACAGCGAGCGAGGGCAGCAGGTGTGCGGGCAGCAGGTGCAACGTGATCTCAAGAGAAGCGCACACGCTCCTCACTGTGATGCCCGCCACTGTCACCACAAACCTGGGGGAAGAGTCGTTGAGGGGCAGAGCGGCACGGATATGGAATGTTCACAGGCCGGTGCTTATTGCACATGAATGAGGCGATGGGATTGTCCGTGGCAGACTGGAGTTGGATCATTGAGGAGGGAACCCACAGCCCATGCCCCATATGTGTGAGAATTCATGAGCGGGCTAGTGCATTCGTGCAGGCCCCTGGTTGCATGGCATTTTATGGGGGGTAGCGAGAATGACATGGATGGGTGGAGGAGAGGAGGCATGGCCTAAGAACAATCTAGTGAGCTCAACTCACCAGGTGAGCAGCTGCACGGCCATCAGTTGCGCCACGGTGAGCAGCATGGCAGCAGCGCCCGTCAGCAGTCCCGGCACCCCCAAGGTGGCAAACACATACTCAGCCAGCCAGGTGTTGAGTGCGATGCAGAGCACATACGAGACGATGAACAGCAGCGCCACCGCTGCTGCCGTGCCCAGGGAGCGAGTGAGGACGAGCCTGGGGCGAGAGAGCAGGGCGAGGGGTCATAGAAGTTGGCCAGAGCAATGGATCAAGGGGAAAGGAAAATGATTTCCAAAAAGAATGAACAATGACTCTCCAGTACGGAGGCGGGGAGGCGGAGGCGGAAAAGGATATGGGGGCAATGAATCAAACGGGTGGTGGTGAAGCAAGCTTGCGCAGCACAGGGGCGGACCTGAGTGCCTGGGCCAGCAGAGGCAGGTGGCCACGCAGCTGTGAGAGCCGGGGCTGAGAGGTGATGCCAGTCGCCGAGGGCACACGAGGCACATGCACTGGCAAGGCAGCATGCGTGGGGACCGCTGCGACTGCTGCGATACCGCCTGCACTCGCAATAGCAGGGTAGGCAGCAGCAGCATCGCCCCCAACAGCACTTTCCACAGCGTGCTTTCCACGGTGGATATCGTCCCTGTGGCCCACGAGGGCAGCAACGAGGAGCAAGACAACAATGGCCCACAGGCCCAGGAGCAAGACGAGCGGTTGGGCGGAAAGCCAGAGGAGTAAGAGCAGCCATGCATGGCACATGAGTGCTATCTTTCCCTCCTCTGCTCCCATGGGGCACACAGTTACCAACTTCCTGACGCCTGCAGCGAGTGGTGCTGTAACGAGGACTTGGAGGAGCAGCAGGAGGAGGAAGAAGTAGAGGATGGACTGGGAGTGAGAGAGGAGGAGGGAAGCGGTGTGACGCAGGAGGGAGAGGGAGAGGCGTTTGAGTGAGCGGGAGCAGAGGAGGAGGAGCATGGCTAGGCTGAGGAGGGCGAAGAGGAAGGAGAATTGCACTAGGAAGGGATTCGAGTCCAGGAGGGGCGACCCGGACGAGGATGAGGAGAAGAGGAGCGAGGACAGGAAAGGTTACACGAGGACGGACAAGGGGGGGAACGGGGAGGCGAGACATGGAGGGGGTATAACGGAAGGGATGACCAGTGGGGAGGTGAGCGGTGCGGAGTTGTAGGAAGAGAGGGATGAGGAGAAGAGCAGGGCGAGGGAATAGGAAAGGGGTGGAGACACGAGGTGGCTGGGAGCGAGCAGCCATGCGCTGCTGATGCTGGCAGTGAGAGAGGGAGAGAGAGCGGCAGCCGTGGCGTCGACCACGGAAGATACTCCATCCGTCACCATTTCTCGAACTGCTGTTACTGCTGCGGCAGCGAGCATGCCTATACCAGCAACGACGTGCGATGAGGCGGCAGCGGCAGCGATGGGACCCGCGCTCGTGCGTAGTAGTGAGTCCGAGGAGAGCAGCCGCAGGAGGCGGAGAATCAGAAACGCGCCGACGAAGAAGAGGAGCGCGACGAGCGCGAGGAGAGCGGGGAGAAGCACGGTGAGGCTGTTCACGCCCCACACGAGCGGGGAGAAGCACGGTGAGGCTGTTCACGCCCCACACGAGCGGCGTGGCGACGACGACGGCCACGCTGATGCGTGCGTACGAGAGGGCGACGAGCAACATTGACGGGCCGGGGGACGGCAGCAGGGCGGGGATGAGGCAGAGCGCGCAGAGGACCGCGAGAGCCGTGAGGAAGGCTATGAGCCACACCTGGTCCCGCCGGGGCCGCGAGTCGCGCGAGAGTGGCGCGAATGTCGCGGGGGGGAGAGGATTCGAAGGCATGGGCTTCGGTAGAAGCAGCAGCAACAGGTGGGCAAGGTTGCAGGGGGGCAGGGGGCAGAAGAGGTGCGAAGAGGTCGGAGGAGATACCGGTGCTGCTAGGACGAGCGCCGCAGGGATTTAGAAGTGGTTGGAGCAGCGCGAATCGCAACATGTTCGTCCAGCCAACAGCCCTTTAGTTGGGGAATGAGCGCAACAGGCTTGAGAAATGGGAGTGGGAGGAGACGGAAATGCTGCGCAGGTTTGCATGAGCGCGACGCGTGGTAATGGGTCACACAATATTCCACGTGGTGAACATGGAGGGGTGCATCACATTGGAATCCCTTACGAAACAGCGCTAACGACATCAGCGAGATTTCCGTAGGTTACTTCAACATATCAAAAGCAGTAAAGAACTTTTTAGATTCTGTTCCACTTACTCCATCCCCCTGTTTTGCTGACTTTTTTTTTTTCTAGACCAACCCTAATGTAACTGTACAACTAGCTGGTGTGTTGCTATACGGGTGCAAACAAAGAAAAACCCCACAAAAATTGACATGTCAAAGAAAGAATAGGGGAACAATGAGCGAGGTGGCAAGCACAGGCTTGTTGAATTCCTTGAGAGCTTCTTTGAGGGAGTTCCTGCCCTCAGCAATGGCTGCGAAGGGCAGGAAGGAGGTCTCCTTGAAGAACTGGTCGGGCAGCTGGCCGTGCTGCCGCATGTCCTGGTGGGGGCAGCCCAGCAGCCAGATGAGCGGGTACCCCGCCCAGTACACCATGTCACCTGGGGTAGCCGCACACACGTGGAGGGGGGACACACATGCACAGGGCACACAGGCGGATGGGAGGCGTGAGAGGCAGCGCCAGGCTTGCATGTGAAGAAATGAAATGTATCCTGGCAACGAATGGCAGATGTGTCGCGCGATGCATAAGTAGGGAGAGACAGTGACGACCAACGATAAGGTACGCTATATTGTTGCAGGATGCGAGGGTGGTGGTGGTGGGGGAGGGGGGAGTGGAGGGGGGGGAGAGGAGCGGAGGGGTAAAGTCGTGAGGATGAGTTGCCGTGTTTGAAGAGGTAAAGGGGGAGAGTGTGCGCAAGGAGAAACAGACTGGGCTTTTACGCAAAGACGGTGATATTAAGAAGGTAAAGTAGGGTGGGTGGGGCCACGTGGCGGAAAGATGGAGAAGGCATAGTGGTGCAGAGGAGGGCACTGACCAGCGAAGGGGCGTGTGAGCATGTTGCCAGCACCGAGCAGGGCGAGGGAGGTGAAGAGCGCATGGCGTGTGATGCGGTACACGCCTTTCACTGCCACCTCGCTGCCCTGCTGCTCTCCCTGCCACGGAAAGCGTGGGGTGAAAGGAAAAGTGGTGAAGGGGATAGAGGAGCTGTTTGACAGTAGGTTGTTGCTGTAACCTAACCAAGCCCACCACCCCACCACCCCACCAACTCAACACTCACCCACACTTACTCGCAGCGACGCTGTTTGTGTGGTTTCTCAACCCAGGCAGCATGCTGTAACTCCCCCCCTCCTTCTATTCCCAGCAAGGTAGCAGGGTGCGGTTCGCCTAGATAGCTCCAAATAGAGACACCTGAGAGCCTAGAGTGGCTACTCACATCCTCGCCGGAAGGAGTGGTCGAACCCAGCAGAGCATTGGGGCGTTATGCCAACATGAGATGCTAGTGGGACATGTGATTCGGGTTCGCATATGACCCACCTTCGTCTCGCTTCGAGAATTGGAGATCTACCTTTCTGGATCCCACCTTCCTCTCTCTGCCGCTGCCACTATTCTTCTACCTCAATTCTTTATGTAGTCGTCGCGGCCGGCCCGGCCAGCCGCGCCTACCATGGCAGTGCTGTAATTCCAATCACCAACAGAAGCACAACCGCAACGCATCAATCCCACCAACACCACGCCCCACCCACCACCCTCGCCCTTGCCGCACCTCGCTCTGCTCCCCTTGCTTGTCCTTGTCTTTGCCCGTGTCCGCGGCGCGCATGGCGCGCTCCATGATGGGGTTGGGCGTCGAGATCGCCTGCCCGAACATCACCGCCGCCGCCACCTTCAGCGCCACGCCCCCCGCGTGCGCCGCCTTGTTGCCCTCTGCCAGCGCCGTCCACCCGGGGACCACGCCGTGCCCGCGCGCGTACCTGCATGGGGGGCGGGGGGAGTGGCCGGGGGTTGGGGAGAGGCGGAGAGGAAGAGATGAAGAGATGCGGGGCCTGGTGTAACGCGTGCGGGGCTTACACACAGGTTGAGTGCATCCGCTACGCCTCAATAACACCCTCGCTTTCACCCACTGGGTAGCGATGCGTTATACCTGTGATGGGTCTGGGACGGCGGGGGGGGATGGAGTGCTGCACCTTACTACCCACGGTGGGATGGGTATCATCGAGAGGCAGATCAGAGGAAGCGTACTGATGCCACTGATGGCCCTGCCGGAGGCGGCGGAGGCGGCGGCGGCGGTGGTGGAGATTCCCAAGGAAAGGTCATGGGGATATCTTCCCCTTCCCCCTTCGAGGAGATGGGGAAAGGCGCGGGCGCGTCGCGTCGTAAGCAGCTGGCGCGAGAAGCGGCGTCAGGGGGGCGCAGGTGGGAAGGCACCTGATGTAGAGGAACGTGGTGGGGGCGAAGGTGGCGAAGGACACGGCGGAGTAGAGCCCGCGGAACTTGCCCTCGTCGCCCAGCTGGTGGATCAGCGCCTCGCGCACGGGCGGGTGCGACATCGCCAGGTGCGTCCCCGTGAATGCCGCCCACCCCGCCGCGACGTACTTAATCGCCGCCGCGCCGCCCAATTTAGAGGCTGCAGCTGCTCCCCCTGTCATGATGTCGTGCGGTTAGGTGAGCTTGGTTACCAACGGGTACAGTCTTGCGATGAGCGGAGGGGGCTAAGCACTGCGGCAGAGTGACACTGAAGAGTGACACCAAAGAATAGTAGCACCCTGCATCGACCGTAAGGAGGAATGGGCAAGCAGAATCGCCTTGTACTGTACCCTGAGGCGTGCCGACTGAGGGAACTGATAAAGGAGGAAATCGATACAGTTTCGCGCATTCCAGCTGTTAGGATAAATATCCTGGCGAAGCCTGCTGATTGGTTGCAAATGACAGCCACAGATTCGCACCCCCCCTTGAGCATGAGGCCTGTGGGAGGGGTAGAGAGGAGGGCAAAATCGTGTCGTGTTCCGTCCGCTGTCAGCGCTCGAGTGCACTATTGTTCCAGGCATTTTGGCCTGGTTACGGGATATTCAATGTTCAAATAGTCAACACCCCCAATGTAAGGAATTTCCCTAATTCCGTGCTCAATTAGTTATACGCGTACACTTTCGGAAGACGAAGCTCGGATCGACGAACTTGCCTCCCGACCCTACACCGCGTCGCCTTCGGGCTTGACAACCCCTAACCAGCACCCAATCGCGATTCAGGGGTCCCCGCCTAGCTAGCCCTTATATCATTGCAAGGCTTCATTATTCATTGAGTAGTTATATCTCCGACATTGAATTCCGTGCAATCTCTTCTTGAACAACTCATAACACTTGGTAGCAGAGCCAGTCTAGAGTGGGGCACACAGTAAAGGGTATAAGACATTTTGGGTTTGTAATTGTATCACCCATTCTCCTTAGTCAATCCATTTCGATGTTTCCGTTCATGAGATCATATCACGAGTAGGTACCCTATCCTAACACATGTTAGCTCGTCGCCCTGCCTAGACTAGCTCGCCCCGCCCTGTCCCTTAGCCGGCTGCGCCCCATCCCGCCTTGCCGGTTAGTAGACCGCGCTCCGCCCATCAGCGCCCTGCCATGCCCCACGCATTTCCTGTCCCGCCCCGCGCGCAGCCTGTCCTGCCCCGCCCGCAGCTCGTCCTGCCCCGCGCGTTTTCCGTCCCAGCGCGCTGCTTGCCCCGCGCTCGCCGCCCCACACGCTGCTCGCCTCGCGCTTCCCGGCCGGTAAAGCCCACTACACCTACCCGCCCCGCGCTGCCCGGCCCGCACTACCCGCCCCGTTCCGTCCTTAGCAGCAACGCACGCGCCTGCCGCACCGCGCAAAACAGCAGCCGCACGCACAGCGGCAGCCGCACGTGCACCTGCAGTCGCACGCGCACCTGCCACCGCACACTCCTCGTACTGCCCCTATCACGCCTACAGCTACAGCACCCTTACACGCCCCTATAACGCACCTACAGCTTCACACGCAGTGCTAGCGATGCCCGTTACCCCACCAGTGCATGCTGTCCTTCATGCATTTGCTGCCATAGGCGTTCTCCCACAGCGGCTGGCAGCCGCAGTCGACATTCCTAGGGCAGATTAGGGTTAGTGCTTCTCTGTGCCTAGCGTTCCTAGACTAACCCTTCCGGCTTTGTTCGTCTCGAGCTCCGTTCGTTCCTAGCCATTCGCTCCTATTCTGGTAGGGAACTAACCATGGCGACCCCTCGACCTGTTAGAAATTATATTATAAAACTGCATGTAGTTGCAGTTGTAGTGTAGTTAACTGTTTCCTGTAGGTGGAGCACCTTCGTCCTTGTTAGTTTGCTTTATGTACCCCTGGTCCTATAGTGAACTCAACGCATTCCCTTCTCTTGGTGAAAACTCTCTTGACATCCGTTGGCCTAGGCCTCTAAGCCTAGGCCCTTGTCAAACCCACGCCTCCTAAGCTGTTACGAATAGTAAATTGTGAAAGGACTATGCACTCCTAACAGTAACAATTGAATCACGCAGTAAGGATTACAAAGTCGAAAAGGCGGATTGACGCGAAGGGTCGCGTACGGTTAGAGAGGATGTGGACCGCCCTATGCGTCGCCCTTCTCGTTGAACAAAGGGATATGGATCAATAGCGACCAGCGCCGCGACAAGAACAGGAACGTCTCGCCTTGTACGCGGACAAGACAGAAGAGCGACGACCGCGGTGCCTCTACTGCAAAGTTTGCAGAAACTTCGGGCACTCGGCGGAGCGATGCAAATTCCGCTCTCGCCCCGACCAGTCCAATCTGAGCACTTGGACCGGCCGACAAGACTCACGACACGACACGCGTCAAGCCCAGGGCTATCAGCCCCCGTCGCGCAACCTGAACCCAACGGTTCAGCACCAGCAACAGGAGCCATCGCAAACGACCACTAGAAATGTCATCAGTAACATGACAATGACATATACGAGCGAATCTTGCTGTTGCCGCGTGCACACGCTATCACCCGAGCCAGCACGCCATCCGATTGGGGCGTTCACGCACAACAATTCGTTTACCTCCCAACACGACTTCAACGACGACGACGACATGGATTGGAATCTTCCAATCCCTGTCAACGGGAGTTGGGTGTGGCCTCGTCCTCGTTTGGGCGGTGCTGACCTTGTGGTCGGGTGTACGGGGGAGTGCAGCCGACCTACAGCAGTGGGCGAGCCGGTCGACGAGGGTGGTCGACCTGCGCGAGGGCCACTGCATTGGTGCCGACGTCTGGGTCCCGACTTTGGGGTGGTTGATCTGGTGGTCGACGGAGGAGGGGCCGACGTCGACCTCGACAGGGGGGACGTCGAGCAGCATGTCGCCCGGTTGAAAGGCGCCGACTTCGGGACGTCGACATGGCGACGCCAACCTGGGGAAGCCGACGTGGGTGGTCGGCTGACAGGTGTGCTGGCTGACCTGGAGTTGGCCAACCAGGAGTGAAATCGACCTGGTGTGGTCGACTGAAGGTGGTCGTCGACTAGGGAGGTCGACGGGCACAAGGAGAAGTTGGTCGACGAGATAGTTGCCCGATCGACCAAGTTACCTGGGCGACGAAGTTTTACGGAGGCACGTGACTGTCGCCCAGGTGTTAGTGGCGAGGCCGACCTCGGTGTGGTATCCCGAGGTCGACGTGGCTGATCAGGTGCAGTCGTCAGCGCCAGGTTGATTTGGTGTGCAGGTGACAAGGCACGGCGCGCCAATCATCTGCGGCCACCTGCGAAGCAGGTGCGCTGCTGTTCTGCGGATGCAACGTTGGCATGCCGTCGACTTGCAGTGATGGCAAGCTGCAACTTTGCACTGCTGGAGCGCGGTCGACCAAGTCGTGCTGAAACATGGTCGACCATGCTGTGCTGGCAGTCGACCTGCTTGCATGCTAGCTCTGATATAGTCTTGTCTTGCCAACTTGAATATACCATTGTTACCAACTTTCCTTAGTAAAAACTCTTGCGGTTTTGCTCTGTGAACGCACAAGTGCTAGAGAACGACTAAGAGAACGAATGGTGAGATTCCTCTTACCCCGTGCCTAGCCCGTAGTCTAGCTCCCGTTGATAGAGTTATCTCCGCATGGTGCGGTGAGCATGGACGGCACATGACATACCTTTCAGTCAGGTCGATGTAGTGGTCACTTACCTAATTTGTGTTCGTAGGCCGGCAGCTGTGCGATATTCACCATGGTAGGCGCCGTAGTTGACATGGGGGTGGTGGACACCCTGGAGGCACGGCTGGAGAATGCGAGGAGACGTCACGAGGCGAACGAGTATGGCGACCTGCCCTGGGCGGTCGTCGAGGCTGACATCCGTGCCGTGTGGGCGACGGAGCACCCTCCTCGGCCTGTCTCTCCTCGACCGGTGAACACTGAGGGCGGCGTCGACGCGAGCGTCCACGCCGGTGGTGGTCAAGTCGGCATCAGTGCGGGAGGCACGTCGAGGCAGCGAGGTGCGATTCACGCCGATGAAGTCGGCGGCGTTCAGGCGCGAGGAATGCGGTCGTCGGCGACTGCAGGCTCCTCGTAAGGCGACCTAGGAGGTCGATGAAGCGGATTGTCGCCGATGTCGGCGACCCACATGACAGCGGGCGGGATTGCGCCGAGCTACGGCTACTTCAAGTTTACGCCGGACAGGATCTTGGTAACTCCTCTGCTGATCGGCTTTGCCCGCGGTACCGTGGCGACGTCGGAGGACCCCAATCTGCGTGCGGAGTTTTGCGCAGTGCAGTTGCTGACCTTCACGGTCATCTCGCGGTGCTGCTCGCCAGGTGTGCAGATCGCCTTGAAGTCGTGCAGGGAGCACCTCGACGCCGGCCACTGGGCGTGACATTTCATCGAGTCGACTTACCAGGTCACCGACGACTTGTACATCAGCCAGCTCGAAGGGCAGCTGACGCACCTGCGGATGGGCAACCAGGAGACTGCGACCGACTACAACAACCGAGCTCGGAGAATTCTCGCCACCATACGGATGGCCGGTGCGCAGTACTCAACGGCATCGTACGTCACACACGTCATGCAGGGACTCCCGAGAAACTACAACCTACTGAAGCGGCTGTTGATAGCGCCGAGCACGTGGGCGACGCTTAACCAGGACACCTTGACATCGTACATCCTGCATGACGAGGCGATGCAGGAGGCTGAACGGTCCTAGGAGCTCCTAGCATAGGTGAACTACGTCACCCCTGCGAAGCAAGGTGGTCGACCAGGGCAGCGTGGGCAGTCGAGCGGCGGTGGTAGCAGTGGCTGGAAGCCGACTAAGGACGAAGACAAGAGGAAGTCGGCCAAGGACAGCGGTCGAGGAGGAGGAAGTCGACGTCGTGAGTGCTGGCTGTGCGGCGACCCCGACCACCTCTCCTTCGAGTGCCCCGACCGCAGTGACTCCGACGACGACAATGCCAAGGGAGGCCACGGGAGGTCTGGCAGCCGTCGTCCCCGTCGAGGAGGAAACAAGCCGTGCAAGGAGAAGCAATCGACCAAGTCGACCTCGGAGATGGATGCCGACTCCTCTGCTGGAGGCAAGGGGCGAGACAACAAGGAGGCGTCGTGCTCGCTGGTCGGCGTCGTGGAGCCGACAATCTCGATGGCGGCGGCCGTGCAGGCAAACCGGGAGGTGGTCCTGCTCG